AGTGCCTCTCGTCTTGCTTCTCAAACACGTCTGTGGTGTCTGATCACCTTCTCGCACATTCTTAGACACGCATGCATGCGCATATCAAGCCTCCTTGCTTGCATTTAGCACTTTGACAAATGATGTTCCATCTCATTGGTCAAGGTGACAGAAAATGGATGGTTTTTCTTTAATTGCCTCTTATTTAGATTGTATCAGTTCATTACAGATAAATCAAGACCTTGTTTGTCCCATGATTTTGTAGCTAAAGGATTGGATGTTTTATGTCGTGCATCCTACATCATCAATACTTAACAAATAACACCACTTCACGCTTCAGTACGGACAAGGTTGATGAATATTTTCAGGTTCACATTAAATGTAGCTGAAGAAACCTGGTTTGTAGAATAAAATCTATTTATCCGAATCAATTTGCGGTTTGTAGACCCATATATGCGCTCATTTGCTGAGGGCTTTGAGAAAAAACATGCAAGCTTCCTCAAAAGTAAATGAATGAATTATTTTAAGCAAACTCTGTCTTACATTAAATCACCCTTATAATTAAATCACTTTCCACTGTTTCCGCCGTAACCGTGTTTACTTGCGAGACGCGATGAGTAATGTGGCTTTTACACGCCGCATTAAGCCGAGTTTGCAGGAATGCGTAAAGAGATTGCGACGAGAAGAAAGACTCAAAGACACTGCTTTCCCTGTTTCATCCGTGAGAAGAGCAGCGCTCGGTAATGGAAGGAGACAGCGCGGTAGACATATAGCGCTCGACAACACCCTCCCCACGTCCTCATGAAAACTGCACGAGAAAATGCAGCTGCAGGCGAAACTGGTGCAGCCATCTAATAAAACGTACTCGGTGCACTTCGTCAAGCTAGACTGACACACACACACCACAAGCACCTACCTCACACCTGCCGAGCGGCACATCTTGTGCCATCAGGGCAATCGCGTTACATTAAACGCATTACTCCGTGATGGGTACCATTGCGCCAGGGGCCACGAAGAGGAGTCTTTTAATTTTGAAGAACCAAAATTAAACAACATAGGAGGCGCTTTACGCAAGTAACATGCAAGGACGACGGGACTGCCAATATTAACAATCGGATAAACGTAATATTTGCTCACCCCCTTCAGCAGGTCTTTATCTAATAATCAGTAATAAGGTCTCATTGGTTGCCATGTCTAATAATAGTGAGCGATTATTTTAGCCTACTGTAATACCCTGAGAGGTCCTCACATAATAAATGGTGATTAACAAGAGTGAAAGGTGTAATTTACCTACGGATCTGCCTAATTGCTATACGGCAAATCAGTGTTGTACCTCGCACATATGCGTGAGAGCAAGGAATCGCACTTGCAAAAACAACGCAACACACACACACACACACACTGAAAGCAGATGGGTTGAAAGCCACCTATGAGAGTGAAATTCATCTGTGAGGAGGAAATGTAGTCTGTGTTCGCTGGTGTGTGTTTCTCTGTGAGAGAAAGGATGGAAATTTCCATGGAGATGGAAAATTGGCTTTTGCACCATTTTTATTGACACTGATAGTAGAGAAAGGACGGAAATGTTCAGGCAGTGACATGAGCTCAACTTTTCCTGAATGAGCATCATGATTCAATGTGTTACTGCTAGGCCGAGGCACAATTGTGTAGTTTGTAGAGCTTTGTATCGATACAAATTTCCTGATTCAGTTTAGATGATCTTGCTTCAATTTGATGCCAATTAATTTGGATGTATTTTTTTTTCTGACATATAAAAGAAAATGCTGTAAATTATACTTATATAGTTGTTGTATTGTATTTCAGACTGATTAAATCTGTAATTTGTCTGTTTAAATTTGGGGTATCAGACTACACTGTATTTTTGATTCACTAAAAAGATTCAGTTCATAAGAGTCGTTTGTAAATTGTACTATATCGGTCAAGTTCTGTGAGTGTTTTTGCATGCAACACAAGGACTGAAGGCTGAAAAGTTCGTGAAAAGTTAAATATTATCTGAGAAAATATTATGTTTATGTTATTTGGAGAATTTAATTGGAAACTAATTTTAAAGTAAATTTGGAAAATTTACTGTAATGAGCCTTGTCATGATCATTTGTTTACAGAGCCATTGGCTCCTATAAGAAAAAAAACTTAGACGCCAAATTATTTTTAGGTGCCACAGAATAAACGTGTTTTATTTATTTTATTATTATTATTACATTTTAACATTTCAATCATACTGTCATGTGTTTATGTCTAATCTTTTCTTGACTTTATCAGTATTTTAATCCATCTTGTAGATGACCTGGGAACTAAGGTTCACTTAAAGTGGGAACTAAATGTCTTATCCAACTTGAAATATATACAGTCACAAATAATTGTTCATTACACAGAATCTGTACCAATATCGTGGACCATAAGCATCACTTGGCCACTGAGTGTAGTTTGGGCTCCTCCTCAATGCATCCTGTAAAAATAAAGGTGCTTCACGATGCCATAGAATAACCTTTTTTTGTCTAAATGGTTTCATAAAGAACCTTTAACATCTGAAGAACCTTTATGCATACCTGTCAACCCTCCCTTTTTTCCCGGGATTCTCCCGTATTTTACCATTCTATCCCGCTATTATCCCATTTAAATATTTCTCCCGTATTTTTAATCTTTCTATTAAAAACAAATCCCACTGGGCATATATTTTATGTTTGCTACATTCGCTTCTGGTAAAACTCCCGTAATTTGTATGGCCCAAACCTCATTAAATGAATAATCACGTCAACGAATTACAAGGTTCTCCAGTTGCCAGATCTTTCTCACAAGATCGACGCATACAAATTTCAACCCATTTATTTGTCCCCTCAACTTGGCGACCTACAGCCCAGTGATGCTATTGATATGTGCACAGGTAGTACCGCGGGAAGGAAACAATGATCACTGGTAGAAATGGGAGGAGAAGACTCAGGTGGTGCTCCAGTGAAAAAATTACTAAATTAATATAATTGTTTGATAATAATTGTTTAAATTAATGTAAAAAATAATATAATATAATATAATATAAAAAAAATTACTTTTGACTCCGCCACTAACCCCCCCACCCCCAAATGTTGACGGGTATGCCTTTGTTTCACAGATTATAAAAAGTTGAGAAAGAGATGGTTCTTTAAAGAACCATTGACTGAATGATTCTTTGTGGAACCAGAAATGGTCCAATGCTTTTACATGAGACATTTCAGTAAGTTGTACTGTAGGCTCTCTTATAAAATAGCCTACCTTTTTATGTTAATTCATGTTCATTATGTACTATAGTAGTAAAGAGAAAGATTAAAAGGGTTCACTTGCCGCTTGAACTGAGGCGCTAAAGCGATCGCGCCTGCTGCATTAAAGAGCGCCAAAACTGTATTTATTGTTTGAATTTCGTTATGAATTTGGAATAATTTTAAAGCTGGTACTTTGTTTATTAAAAAGTAACAAAGCACAAAGCTTTTTGCGATTTACTGGATGGCAAGTGCGCTTCAAATAATATGAAGTTCACACATTAACAGAACACAGCATAGACTAAGATCTTGATAAGAAGAAGCCATATTATTAATAATTATAAACGAGAATTGTTAACGATATTGCCAATATCCACACAGTTGACAGCTTTACCTGTTGTAGTTTGTTCAAGTTGTGCACGAAATAGACGCTGCTTTTCTGCACTTTCACTTCGCACGTCTCCGTCATTTCGTTCTCTCTCGCGCTGCACAACTGAGCTGTGTTTAGCAGGTGTGCGACAATGCTGCTGTGCGGCAGAGATGAGGACTGTTTGAAACTATTTTTTCCACTAAAACTTTGATGCGCATTGTCTCAGTTTAATATGTGAACATAACAAAAGATGTGATCGCAAAACAATCAGGAAAAAAGGCATTACATGCCAATTTTTAAGTTATAACATGTAAATATATATAGGCCTAGTCGCCAGTGGCGACCTCAGCAAAAACTTCACTCGTAAATTAATATTTTTGGTCGCAAATGCGAATGTTTTAGTCGCAGTCTGGAGCCCTGGTTTTTTACACACTATTAATAGCTAATTAACCCTGCAGGATGACTCGTATCTGCCTGCACGACAGATTTCATGTATATTTCAATGATTAGTCTTGTAAACGTTCTTAATGATATGCAAATTGATCATGCATATTCAGCAGTCTATGCATGTTTACATCAAGACGGCCAAAATTTAAGGATCAAACCCTCCTTAGTATGCTTGCTTACAGGTGTTTTTATTAATAGTTCATGTCCTGACAGGACTGATGAATGGTAAAATGAATCCCTGTCAGTAATCGTACGTCCACTGCAGCTATACCGTGTCACATTAACGCTTGGCGAGAAATCACGTGCGCCATCCACCTGGGCTGGATGATGAGAGCTGGCTTTCTGCTTGAAAGATGAAAAATGTCAGACAAATGAGCCCAGTCAATACGAGGCTCCTCGCAAACAAATGCGTCCTGATAGGAGAGCATCCCGGCGTCTCTCTCAGTTCTGGGCGTGTAATTGTCTGTCTGTGTTCTCTAATTGCGGCATAATAAATAAAGCACATTCATTTGTTTATGTCGGTACTTCTAATGCGATTCCCTCCAGTGCTGTGCGCAGATACCTCTCAACTCTGCTTTTTCTCAGTTTTCTCTCTTTTTCCCTCCCCTCATCCCTCTCTCTCTTTTGTCTCCTCGTCCTCCTGTTCCTCCGTTCCTCAGCACACCTGGGGGCCTGCAGGGGATGTCTTAGCATGAATAATGCAGGAGAGCTTAAGAAGTTGTACCTGCTCTCCTTTCCTACCATCTCTCTCTCTCTTTCTCTCTGTCAGTGCATACTTTCCATCTCTCGCTCTCCTTGTCCTCACTTTTCAAGTAAAACCATTATTCCCTTGTGGAGGAGCGGAATGTGATTTCCTGTGTGCTTGTTTTTTTTGTAAAAAAAAAAAGAAGATGTTTGCAGTTTAAAAACGAAAGCTGGCCTGCACTCAGTCCACTCTCTCTCTCTCTCTTTTGCAGTGGATTTCGTGGACTGTGGCAGAGGTTCTGGCTTGCGTTTCGAGAGCGGAGACCCTGCGGATTTCCGGATAGAGGCCGACGGGACTGTTTTCGCAGCACGAACCCTGCAGCTATCTGACAGGAAGGGGCAGAGCTTGGAGATTAAGGCCAAGGACGTGAAGTCCCAAGAGGAATGGCTGGTGCACATCAACTTCACCCAACCCAAGCAGGTAGGAAGTCATGCGCTCTTGCACGTTAACAGTGAACGGCGGCTGCGTGACTGCGAATTCGCACTAATTATAACCGTGTCAGATCGCTAACGGTGCATGGCGTTTCTAAACTAGCCTCACGCTGCAATTACACCATCAAACAGCCATTGTGCGAATGTGAGCTCACAAAAATGTCTCTCTCCATCCGTAGGCCCTCTGTGACAAAGCCAAAGCTCTAATAAAACTATATTAGAAAATTAGCAGAGCACTAACACGTTGATAGTAGGGCTGTAATTAATGTTTAACGATGCTAAAGAGACATTAAGGCAGGAGGATACATTAGACAGCGGAGATCTGGACCCTCAGCTTGGGAACACTAACCATATGTCTCATAGCCATGCCTTCTGCTCGGAGACATGGAGAATTTACTCTTTATTACTGATACACACTGCCGCCAAGGGGAAGGAGGACGAGAGGAGCCAGTGGGGGAGAGAGCAGATAAGGGTGAGATTAAGGCTGAGATGGTAGAGGAGGCAAAGGAGGAGAGAGTGAAGGGTTTAGACTAATGCTGGCCAGTCACGATGCATTCCCGATGAGTTTGCTGCAGTATTCAAAGCAAGCAACACTGGGAATATCACTGCGATTTTAATGAGCTTTTAATTTGGCCATTAAGTTTCCTAAAGAACGTGTCATTAGTCTAGTTTTGCAATTGGTCTCCTTCCTTGTCTTGTGAGATTTAACTGCGTCTGTGATTTAAAGTAGCAAAAGCCATGTTAAAATGAGTATGTTTGATTAATTTGTGTTTTAATGAATCAGTTCAAAACTTAATGATACGTCATTATTTAAATGTGGTTTAAGCCTGCATGGCATTTTTCGTGTATTAAACTTAAGTAAAAATGTATGTACACTATCGTTCAAAAGTTGAAGAGATCGGTAAGGTTTTTTAATGTTTTTGAAAGAAGGAAAAACAGTAATATTGCGATATATTTTACTGATTATCTTTACTGTCACTTTTGATAAGTTTAATGCATTCTTGCCGAATAAAAGTATTAATTTCTTTAAAAAAATTGCACTGACTCTAAACCTTTGAACAGTAGTGTAGATAAATATAACTTTTTATTACTGTGTATTGATTTATTGGCGCATAAGAATGAAAATGATTATATTCAGGGTTCTCGTGATCTTGAAAAACATCAGGGAATTCAGTGTTCCGGAAAAATCTAAAATGTGCTTTCCATGGAAGATAATAACATTTTAAAAGGTCATGGTCCATAGACAATATAAATATTTCTAGTTAAGATCAAGTATCTCTTTAGCTACAGATGACTTGATAAGGTGTAAAAATTCTTGTCAAGTAATCACAAATGTCTAATTCAAGGAAATATCAAAAGAAATTTGTTGGCCAGAAAGTATGGGAACCCTGTATACATTATTCTTGGATTCATTTAGTAAAAAACATGCCTTGCTTATTGTAGAGTAATTTTTTATTGTTTTATTCTTTTGCATTGAACATTCTGAATGTTTAATGCCATAAACAATAAACGTGTTAAATGAAAGGTAATCTCAAAATAATTAAATAAACAAATTAAATATATATCGGAGATCATCAAAAGCCCAGCCCTGTTTTGTCCAGCTAGAGTTAACAAGAAAAAGAGAGGCGGGAAATGTGGAATGAGAGAGAAATGGGAGATGTGAAAAGTTAACGAGAAGGAACATAGGTGAAAGACGTTTTCCATCAATTCCGTTGGTGTTTATGTTGTCGGTGAGTTCGTTTGGAGAGATGGTGCGACTGTGAGAAGGTACCGGGGTAATGAGTTAGCTCATCACCTGAGTCACAACAGAGAGAGAGAAAAACGAGTATATCTACCTCGCTGCGTACACAACGAACCGCCGCCCACCCCCATGTGTCTGTCATTACCAGCAATATTTCACCACTGAGAGGAAGAGAGAGAAGATGGGTCAGGAGAAAGGGACGCTTAGTTGATATCAACTCAGAGGAAATATTGAATCACCTTATAAACAGAGATTCTGTACTTGCATAAAGAATTCAGTCTTTGTATTGTGTTGGTAGCTGGAAATGAACTCTTAACTGAACACTCAGAGGGGTTGTTGTTCTCTATAACACTAAGAGCAGGGCAAATGTCTGGTCAAGCACATCTCTGGCTGCCTTTGGCGGAGGAATAACAAGGCTCAGGGAGAAAGAAAATGGAACAATACTGCAAACTCGACACACACACTCTCACATTCACTATGTGGGTGTTACTGCTGAGGGATTTAATGATGGAGCTGCAGTGATATTTATGACCCCATTACAGAGGGTAAAATTAATTCTGTAATTATTTGGGGCCGGGGCAGATGTGTTGAAAGTGCCGCAGTGTGTGTGAGTGTGTTCATTCCTTAATGTACATCGAGCGTGTGGGTGTTTGTGAATGTAACTGTTGTTCTTTTCGCTGTTTAATTATTTTTTTTTGCTTTACCAGGTGCCAGAGATACTGTTTCCGTGGCACAGTGTGGTTGTCAAGGGCGACGGCAGTGTGAATCGCGTGAAAAGAGACTGGGTCATTCCTCCTGTCAACGTGCTTGAGAACTCCAGAAAACAATTCCCTGAAGAGCTTGTGAAAGTGAGTGTGTACACAAAGCAAAACAACACTGGTTCATCATGTGAAGTGTATTTGAAAACGTACGATAAAAATAAACGGTAATTCATTCATCGGGTTGTTATTCGAGTGCAGAGTAACTCAATTTTATGTTTAACCTGCAAAATATGTGTGTTTCAGATCCAGTCAGATAGGGACAAGAGTAACACACTGCGCTATAGCGTGACCGGACCAGGAGCCGACCAGAACCCCACCGGCCTGTTTATCATCGACCCCATTACAGGAATCCTGTCCGTCACCAAACCGCTGGACAGAGAACACATCCCAAATTTCCATGTAAGTGTGTGTTTATGACTCCACATTTGTTGTAAACAAGTTGTAAACTTTAGTGGAGATTTCATCCAAAAATATTTATGTTTGCAAAAATTTTTAATTGAATTTGAATTTTTGCAAACCTTTGCATTGAATGCCTGCGTAAGGTTTTTCTCTTATACAGCTGTTCCCTCACCACAGTGCAACAGTGAAAAGGGACCCCTTTCAAACTGTGTCGCGTTCCGAACGTTGTTTAAGCAGTATTGCGGTATTTAAAAAATTCATATCATAACAATATATATATATCATTTTTTTCTTAGTTACTTTCCAGAAAATATCCTCAAAACAAGATCAATTTTTATATGAAACCACGTGAATATCTGCATAAGAATTCAGTTTTATTGGAAGATTCCCTAATCAGGGTGTCCGCGCGGTCTTAAAAAGTATTAAAAGTTGATAAATCAATTTAGAGAAAATTAAGGCCCTTAAAAAGTATTAAAAAGTCTTAAATGCCATTTTCCAAGGTATTAAATTTTGTATCATATTTTCATTATGTATATTTGTCGAATAGTGGGGTTCTGTGTATTTTATTTAAGGAATCCCACAAGATTTGACGTCATCTGTTACAGCGCTCACTGACTGACTGCACCACTGCTTGATAGCGCGGGGCTTGTTGATCCCGCTCACGCTGAATTTCTGACCATTACCGCACACTCCCATCCGCTCTCGCGATTTTTGTGTCCGCTCCCGCAAACATTCTAATATTGTATATAATTTTCGCCCATCAGGGCGCCACTATCAATATGTGGGGTATTTAAATCCCCTTTGAATGAACGCTCGCAGTCGTAGTTCACTTTCACTTTCGATCTCGCGATCGCGCGCACACTGTGTAAAGGGAGCACATCATACGATAAAAGATATTTGTTAATGAGCTCAGAATCTGTTGAGGAGCAAATCCTCCAACATCTTGTCCGTTATCTCTCCTTACTTTTGACCCGTGATCAGTCAAATCTGACTTCTGCAGCTCGTGTCGGATGCAGGGTTGTTTTTTTCCCCAAGAAATTGGGCTGCTCAGCCCTCTACGAACACCTTGGCAATTGAATCGCCATTGGCTAGTAAATTTTTTTGTTTACTCGCCAGACTGATAAATATATACATACACATATACATATATACACACATATACACACACATACACATACACATACATACA